TTTGCCTGCGTGGAGGACTTTTTGATGGAACTAACTCGCATTTTCGTTACATGCAGAGGAAAACCACGAGAACCTCCCACAGTTAGCCTGACAGCAAGGGGACTCTAACCCATGATTCGTCTACCACTGAGGATATTTCACTGATATTATACGAATCTAGATATACTAATACTATATGCATACCAAAATTATAAAAAAGGTTAAGTAAGTCTCGAAGATTGCGTAAATTTTGTATCACAATGTGTGATTTGTAAATTGAATTGCGGTGTATGTTTCTTAAATCAGAACAATATGAATAGCAAATGATATGAAACGCGCAAACTAACAAGACGTAAATCACAAAGTGTGATACATAAATCAATTTAATGTGAACTTTGTTGCATGATTAGCTAATAGTTTTTATATGAATAGTGAGCGTTATGATGCAAATTGCTATTTGTGATTCCCACATACTCTAACCCATAATTCGCCTACCACTGAGGATATTTCATTGATATTATACGAATCTAGATATACTAATACTATATGCATACCAAAATTATAAAAAAGGTTAAGTAAGTCTCAAAGATTGCGTAAATTTTGTATCACAATGTGTGATTTGTAAATTGAATTGCAGTGTATGTTTCTTAAATCAGAACAATATGAATAGCAAATGATATGAAACGCGCAAACTAACAAGACGTAAATCACAAAGTGTGATACATAAATCAATTTAATGTGAACTTTGTTGCATGATTAGCTAATAGTTTTTATATGAATACTGATCGTTATGATGCAAATTGCAATTTGTGATTCGAAAGTTGCTTAATATAGAACAGCTATGTGGTATTCTTCAATCATTTTGATGAGAATTGTGAGTGGTAATTTTTAAATCTCTCTTTCGTGAATCACAATACATGATTTTTAAACTACTAGAATAAGAATTGTGAGACAAGATTCTGAAATTACGTAAATACGTATCACATTATATGACTCAGAAATAACTTTAATTGAATTCAGGATGTGTGATTGATAAATCCCTTTAATGTGAATCATGACGTGTGATTTATAAAATACTACAATCCGAATCCTGATGAGTAATTTGCAAATCACTTTAAATTAATATTCAATATGTGATTCATTATTCATCTAAATCATAATTTGTAGAACATTTTATATGAATTCCAGTCCGTAAATCAAGACTCAGTTAAATGTGAATCACGCTGTTTATTCATAATCAATGAAACCTGTAGAACTAAATTTTATTTATAAGCAGTAAAAACGAAATGTAAAAATTTGATTATAAATGATAAAAAATTAATTATCCTTTGAACATAAATTAAAAGAACAAATAGAATAACAATATTAACCTGTAGTAATAATGAAGTTAACACACTGAACATATTTCTAAATCGATTAAGCACTACATATCATTTGAAAACTATAACTACAAAACCTACAGTTTGCTAGAAATTTCAGCTTTTAAAACATCAGACAGATGAACAATAATCTGGTGTGAGAAATCTAGGAGAGAAAAGTTTTGCATCTTCTTCAACCCCCTTTCACTTCATGCATTAAAAATTGCATCTATCAGAATTTCTATAATCTTCCTTTGAATTTATTATTTTCTTACTGCTTTTTTTGTAAAAAAGATTAGAATTACTTTAAATCTTAAAAAATCAAGAACTTTTCAAGTACCCTATGGCAGAATTCAAGGATTTTCCAGGGCCCTGATTTTTTTCAACTAAATTCAAGGACTTTCAAGGTTTTTCAAATACCGTGGGAACCCTGTTATAATATCCTTCAGAGATAAACATTGACCAAAAGAATTGAATTTCAGTATTTTCTTTTCTTTTTTTTAAGTCAACTGGTTAAGATCAACTTTGAAAATGAGGTGTCACATATTTTCAGTACATGCGCCTGATATGAACAGATAGTTTGTAAAGACCATATAAAAATATTAACAAAAGCTATAAAACACAAACAGATAAAAAAGAAATACACACCTGTTGCCCAAATCCAAACAGAATCATGGACGTGTAAAAACATATGGACCAGAAGGAGGAAATACTGCGAACACCTTCGACAGCCAGAGCAGCTGGAAAAGCTTCAGTGGCAAGACGCAACACTTGATACCCACTTTGGTAAGTATGACTGTCACTGGGAATAGTGCTGATCCCTAAAAGAAGGCTCGTCACTGATACGTTGGAAAGACGCCTTATTCCCGGATTCAAAACTTTCACAGAATTTTCTTCTTCTGAAAAAAAAATATTTTTTTTTTGAAATACAAAATACTAAATGTTGGTTTATTAGATTAAATAATATATTTGATCTATGTACTATAAATACTGAGAGCGATAATACTGGGTGTTTTGTAGTAACTGACCTTAATACATATTTTCATTATCCTTATCAAAAATAAAATAAAAATAATGTATATGATGATAAAAATAGTACATATAATATTTAAATTAATTTAATTTTAAAATACAAAATGCTAAATGTTGGTTTAACAGATTAAATAATAGCTATTATTTGATCTATGTACTATAAATACTGAGAGCGATAATACTGGGTGTTTTGTAGCAACTGACCTTAATACATATTTTCATTATCCTTATCAAAAATAAAATAATGTATAAGATGATAAAAATAATACATATAATATTTAAATTAATTTAATTTTAAAATACAAAATACTAAATGTCGGTTTAACAGATTAAATAATAGCTATTATTTGATCTATGCACTATAAATACTGAGAGCGATAATACTGGGTGTTTTGTAATAACTGACCTTAATGCATATTTTCATTATCCTTATCAAAAATTAAAATAATGTATATGTTGATAAAAATGGTACATATAATATTTAAATTAATTTAATTTTAAAATACAAAATACTAAATGTTGGTTTAACAGATTAAATAATAGCTATTATTTTATCTATGTTCTATAAACACTGAGTGATACTGGGTGTTTTGTAGTAACTGACCTTAATACATAATTTCATTATCCTTATCAAAAATAAAATTAAAATAATGTATATGATGATAAAAATAGTACACATAATATCCCGATAAAATTAGAAAAATAGAGAATAATTTAAGTTGGAATAGAAGTTTATTTTGAAACAAAACAAACAAAAATTAGTGCAATACACAACTTTATCATTCTGCATGCGTTCATGTGGAAGATTCTCTGAATATCTGTTTAAAAAAAACAAAAGTGTAATTCATTTCCCATTTTGAAAAAATTCATGAAATGCATACACAGGGTGAGTAGTCAGGTTTTTCAACAAAAAATAAGCACCTTTTAAGTACTTTTTAAGCACTCAAAAAATATTTTTAATTACTTTCCAAAAAAAAAAATCATGATTAAGATCTGTGCAGTAATAAAAAAAAATTTTGTCTATCGTTTAAAGTTCTTAATTCATAAACATAAAATCAAAAGAAAATCCAAAAACATTTTCAGAAACTTTACATAATCATGATAAAATAACTAGTTTCTGACAAATAATGCAGAGAAAATCGTGAAAAATCAAGCATTTTTGTAATTTAGAGCGACAACTGTCACTGCAAAGAAAAAATCTCATTTGAAAAGATAGAAAATTAAGCACNGAAGAAAAAAAAAGAGTAAAAAAATGGTGTTCGCGAGTGAATCTGAAAGTAATGTAGATTATTTTTTTAGATTATGAAGATGTGAACATATACAAAGACTAATATTTAACTTTTTTCATTTGCCCGAGATAACTCAGGATAGTAAACTGATAGTAAATTAAATTTTTTTACACATAAAAAATTTAAATTTCAACGTAGAACTTGAGTATTATGTTTTGCTTTAGTACCTTGTATTTATTAATGATATAAAAAAATATTTTTATTTTTTGCACTTTTTTTTTTAAATTGGTAATGGAAGCGGTTAAGTACAAAAAGATAAATCAAAAACAACAGATTACGCCCACACTGTGAAAGCCACTGCAGACATTTTCCCAGCAAAACAATCCTATCTGGTAGCTAAACTTAATATATTATGTCAACTTAATGTGCAATTAAACATCTACATGTAATCACTTACCATAAGAAGAAAAGGCTAAAGAAAGATTCCTTTTAAGCAATACATTCCCAGCACAAGCAAATAAAAACGAGGCACTAATCAGCACCACTATGGCAGTAACAACTACGGCAATTAATTGCCTAAAAAAGAAAAATAGAATCATCAATTTCAAGTAGAATCTACAAGTGAAAAATAATATAAAACAGAGTTGGCAAGGTTTAGGACAGAATGTCTATGTCATGTCTAAAACCCCTTTATTCAAATTATGTCACAATTTTTTACAAAAATATTGCGAAAAATAGAACATTCATTTTTGAACAAGAAACAGGTTATTAAAAAAGTTTATTATTATTTTTAATATTGCATTTATTTATTCTTATGCAAAAACATAATTTATCAGTATTTAAAGCATATTCATTCATATTTAAGTGATAAGGTATTCACTTTTGTTGTTCAATGAATTGTGGAGCTTCAAAAGTTATAAATCTTTTCTTATTATATTATATTATTTTCCTTTAATGTATTAAGGCAAATTGTATAATTGTATGTAATTACTATATGTACAATGGTTACACATATAGAATTTTTATCTTTCACCAATGTTAAAGGTTTTAAACACTAAACTATCCTAAACTGTCTTAAAGACAGTTTAGGATAGTCTAAGACAATAAAACCCAAGTGTCCTGTCCAAAACCCGAACCCTGATATAAAACATAATTTCATTCATACGATAAACATAAAATACTGCTACTTTAAAACTTCAGTACATAAACTTTAGTTGGCACTATTATTTAGTTGCAAATACCTGCAAGATTCATAAATGCACAACCTTTAGCAATAATATTTTATTGGCATCTAATAAAGTTGATATGCTCTCCCCATGTGTTGCAAGATCTGCAAAAAGATTACTTGGATGCCTTGTATAATTTATGTTAAAAGCCTGGTTTTTTTTTACACATAAACCTATTTTATGAAATTATGTTTTCATAAGATAGGTTTATGCGTACAAGCATAAACTTGTATTTACTCACATGTAAACCAAACAGAAGGGGAAAGAATAGGCAATATAACACAAAATTTTTTTTTACAGACTTATAATAACGAAACCTGTATTTAATATGAAAAAAAAGACTGCATGAGTGATATATGAAAGGGTTCTTAAGCAACAATTCAAGAAAACAGTCTTCCGTTAGATTGTAAAACCTGTATTTCTATAAAAGTAATCTCACAAGAGGGAGACTAAATATGCATTAAACTGAGAAAAGAGTTTAAACTGATTTATTGTGAGATCGTGAAACTCGTATTTATAAGAAAGTAAAACCCAAACAGGTATTTATACGAAAGTAAACCCTACAAAGGAAGACTGCATGAACAATAAATGAAAAAGGTTCTTAAGCAACATTTCATGAAAACAATCTTCCGTTACATTGTAAAACCTGTATTTCTTTGCTTGTGTTTCTTCCATCAGAATAGAATTCAAGAAAATACCTAAAATTTTAGATTGGCATTTTTGCGTAAGAAAAAGTAACAAAAACTAAATGTTTTGGTAAGTAGCTTTTTTTTTCAATAGCTTTACTTCATTTCTAACTAACTATAAGCTTTTATCCAGGAAAATGTCGAAACAATCAAGACAGCACAAGTTCTTAGAAGAAATAATATTAATTATAAGAATAATTATAGAAATAATAATAATTAGAAGAAATATGTTTGCAAAAAATGTATAGTGGAAACACCCTGTATATGTAAAAAATGTGTTGAGCAATGAATTAAAAATTCTTATTCTTTGTGTTTGTAATACATAAAAATTGGCAATATACAATTCTGTTTAATTATAGTAAAGTTTTTTTTAGTTTATTTCCTTCCTAACATCCATATTTCATACATTCAATCAAGAAATATAAAATCTAGTATTTGACCGGCTATAGTAGAAATAGGTATACATCAAGTGTTGGTATGTTTAGTGTTAATTGGATTATTGTGAAGAAAGCCTCTATTTATATGTAAGTAAATCCAACAGAGAAACATAGAATAGCAACATGTGAAAATAACAAATGCAAAACAGACATACAAATAAAAAAATTTTAAGTATTTTTTAAGTGAAATAATGTACCTAGAAAATACCTAGTGCTTTCCCTGAATCTTCAAAGAAACAATTTGCATTAATACAACATATCAATGGACAATTGCAGTCAATTTTT